GGATGCTGCGTTTCAATACTCGTTGTACATGCCTTTACAATGTCGGTATTGTTTGCTACTGTGTGTGAACCTATTCAAAATATACACTTTTTAACACCAAGCAAAGTCCTGTCTAAATATACACAGTAAGTCTGGAAAGATGTCCATGACCCGTACAAATCTCTGTAAATCACACTTCCATAGCTACAGAAACTAAACAAAAGAGTTACCAGCTCAAGATGCTGATTAAATCTTCTTAAAAGCAACCTACCTAATAATAAATATAGTTGCATGGTAGCGAGGTTTGGAGACCCAGCTAGGTCTTACTAAGGCACGGAATCAAAACACCACAGAGATTTACCTTCGTCCCAACTGGGTAAAAGAAAATAAAAATCTGGGTTCAAAGCCACAAGTTCGGTGCTTAAATTGCAGAGAAAAGGAAAAAGAGAGGTGCGGTGCTGAGCCGCAGCAGGTTTGGGAGCGAGAATCAGCCTCGCAAGGTCGCCGGGCTCAGGAGAAAGGAAGGGGCAAGAGGAGGTGAGGCGAGTGGGAGGAGGAAAGCCGGAGTGAAAGAAAAACGGAGTGGACGGAGGAAAGAGAAAGGAGAGGGAAAGGGAAGGCAAGAAGGAGCGTGAGGGCGGGGAAGCGAGGCGTGGGACAGGGGAGGCAGCTAGTCGGGCGAGGAGCCGGGTGCGGAGCCGAGGCTGCCTGAGCGGGTCCGGGCTGGGCGCCCTACGCGGCTCTCGGCAGAGCCGCCGCGGAAACCCGCGGACAGCGGACGCCTCTTTCCGCGGAGAGGGACAGGGAGCCGCGGGGAGGGGAAGGGAGGAGAGACACTCTTCGGGGAAGCAAGGCTTAAACCCAGGCTGTACTGTATGTGCCTGCTTCTGGGGGGGTCACCGGCGTGAAGATGGGTCTAATGATCTCATCTTTCTTTTCTTCCCCGGCACTATTAGTGCTCAGATAGGCAGAATGAAGTGAAACTACGTGCAAATCATGTGTAAATTGTCTCAGTTAGGAGCCCTTTATCCGAACGTGTATCCCAGCCTGGTCCATTTACTTTCCCCCCATATCTCCTTTAGCTTTAACGAGGCTCGTTAAGATCACAATAATATTCCACCCTCTAATTGCTCATCCCATTCAACAAATACGTGCACACTGCTTTTCGCATTATTTGATCCCTTATTTAGGAGGGGTGTGGAGTGGGAGGGGGGAGAGACAGGGAGAAGGGGAAGTGCTGAGATTAGGAGTTACAAAGATTAAGGAGAAAAAAAAAAAAAAAGAAGAAGAAGAAAAAAAGAAGAAGAAGGGGAAAAAAAACAACAACCAGGCTTTTCCACCAACCGCCCGCTTCCCTCCCCCCCCGTGCATTTGGGCGAAGTGGTAAAAACCTTCCTTACGTACTCCGTAATGATTGGCAGGGCTGACAGTGCTTGGCAGGGGCTGCCATGGCAACGCCACAACGACACTCAGAAGACCAATAGAAAAGCGAAACAAAATGTTTCAGCGCTGCACTCACTGTGGATTTAGGGGAGATATTATGAGGCTGTTGTCATTAGGGCGATTGCTGTTGAATCACTGAATCCTGACTCGGCGGCGGCGCGGGGCCGGGTGCGTGTGAGTGCGTGTGTGTGTGCGTGTGTGTGTGTGCGTGTGCTCGCGTGTGCGTGTGCCCGCGTGTGCCTGTGAGCGCGTGTGCCCCCGTGCCTCTATGTGGCTGTGTGTGCGTGTGCGGGTGTGGATGCGTGCGCGGTGCGTGTGCCCTTTCCTCCCTTCTTCCTTCCTTTCTTTCTTTCTCCTTGATTTTATCTCCCCCTCTCCCCGGTCATCCCATGGTGTTCAGGTCCCCGCTAGAGCTTTATCCCACCCATTTCTTCTTGCCAAACTTCGCCGCCGACCCGCACCACCGCTCCCTCCTTCTCGCCAGCGCGGGCGGCGGCGGCAGCGGCAGGGGGCCCCGCTGCCGGTGGCACCGGGGGCATGCGAGGCCATCAACAAGCACGAGTCCATCCTCCGCGCCCGGGCGGTGGTGGCCTTCCACACGGGCAACTTCCGAGACCTCTACCACATCCTGGAGAACCACAAATTCACCAAGGAGTCCCACGGCAAGTTGCAGGCCATGTGGCTTGAAGCGCACTACCAGGAGGCCGAGAAGCTAAGGGGTCGCCCGCTGGGGCCGGTTGATAAATACAGGGTGAGGAAGAAGTTTCCGCTGCCCAGGACCATTTGGGATGGCGAGCAGAAGACGCACTGCTTCAAGGAGAGGACTCGCAGCCTCCTGAGGGAGTGGTACCTGCAGGACCCTTACCCCAACCCCAGCAAGAAAAGGGAACTGGCTCAGGCCACGGGGCTCACCCCCACGCAAGTAGGCAACTGGTTCAAAAACCGAAGGCAAAGAGACAGAGCAGCGGCGGCTAAAAACAGGTCAGTGGGGGGCTGCAGAGCTCCGATCCGGGGCGGGGGGGAGATGGGCGGCGGGAATCCGCGGGCGGCTGCGCTGCGCTGCGCGGCTCGGCGGCCG